ATTTCACTTTTTTTCAGACTTCGTTACTGAGAACAGCGAGCAGCAGCCGACCATCCTCGCGCCGGCTATAGACATCACCGAAGGGGATGCGACAATGTCTCTCAACTTTCGTTCACCCAGCGAACCAGAGTACCAGCAGCTGCCACAAAAGAAGGCGCGAACTAGCAAGCCAACGAGCCGCCAAGTTGAAAAACGCAACATCACAGCAACGTTTGCTCTCGATACTTTCAGTAAAGATTCGCGCGTCAATATAATCAATTCAAATTTAATGCCGTTTTATTTTCTTCTCAATCAATGCTGCCTATTAATTTTTTACTTTTGGTTTACAGGTGAGCGAGCTACAACCTCAGCATTGCCGTCCAGTGGATTGTCGGCATCCTTTCCCTACAAAGACAACAGTTCCGACGCATCTCACCATTCGATGCCATTAACGTCGTACAGCGAAAGTCCTCGCTCTTGCCAACAGATTCGCTGCCCATCAAACTGCAGCACTAGTAATCGCAAGAGGTTCTATGAAATGATGCTGTATTTCATTTAAGCAGACGAAACAAAGCTAGAAGAGGCAATCAAGCTAATATTGTTATATGCAATTAGTATAAAGAAACATTTACATTTTATAAAAATTTAATCTATTAAAATTGATTTTAATGATTGTTATACTGACTTTTTTTCAGAGGTAGAGCGCAAGAGAAGCTTAAGATTAACAGAGAGGCTTCAACTATTGAAGGCGAAAATAAAAGCTCTACAATCTAAATGAACCGAAAATAGCGATAATGATTTTCCCGAGCTTCCGTTGAAAAGTAAAGGTGAATTGCGTTAGTTTGAGGCTGATCTGTTGCGGCTGCCTCAAAAACGGACCGAGTTTGTATGTTTCTTTTAAATTTATTAACGAATCTTTATTTTTTAATTATTTTTAGTTTATATTCAAACTCTCTTATTTGTTATTATTCCAGATGATGCTGATGAAAAAAAATTTATTAACCAGTGGTCATAATAGCATTTGGCGCTGTTTAAGTATCGTTTTAGATCATCGTTTTGCAAAAGAACGACTCACTATGAGCGGTACTGGAGCTGGCAAAATAGCAATCCAGAATAAAATGTTCTGGAAAAAAATTGCAGGTAAAGTTACTTATAGTCATTAACGTCTCGGTTCACACTTGCATATAATACACCAAATTTTTAAATAATTTTAAATGGAAAAATTTCTAATGGTTTGCCTAACAATTGAATATTCATGTTTGAACAGTTTGTAATAGATGAATGGATGTATGTACATAACTAAAGTGCGACTAATTAATCACGGAGCTTCTTCATTTTTCTTGCAAAAAATAACTGTCAGTTTGGGTTATGAGGCATTAGTTTTCGTCATAAACATCAACATAAATGACGGCTCGAAACAATAGTTGATTTTTTTACTGTTTGCGAAAATCCGGCTCAAAATAGGTGGCTTCAAATTTGATTATTCGCTCCCCATTACCCGGAGCCTTAACTTGTCATTCTCTTCTAATGCATTCAAAATAAAATTCAATTAAAATTAATTCAAAATACAATTTTTATTTTTCAGCGGTGGTTCAATGAAAGCACCAATATCCTTTAAGAAAAGCTGTCGAGAGGGGTAGGAAGTGGAAAAGTGGCCGCGGAAAATATATTCAAGACGAAAAACGACGACTTGAAAAGATCAGAGGTTCGGCAGCTATTCTACCTGTTGTCGGTAACAACGATAATTCACGTGCAGCCGACCAGTGAATCATTTCAAAATAATAATTCAAAATATAATTCAAAATAAAAATGTAATTAAAATTTTTATTAAAATGTAATATGTAATGTATGGCAATTCAAAATATAATAAAATATCGAAAATTACAACTGTTTATTATTTGTTGAAAACTTTCCAATTGCTCTACATATTTCATTATCGTTTCATTCAAAATTCGTTTCCGACATTTTCCGACGTCGGAAAATGTCGGAAATCGGCTACAGCCGTGCAAGATACCGGGACAAATTTCGTTTCTCTGACGTCGCATGGACGTCGCTGAATATCGACTTCAAAAATTGGAAAAGTTGGAAAGCGACGTTGTAACGACGTCTTAGAAAGTATTCGTGCTGATGCATCAAACTGTCCCGTATGATATGACATATGGTCAGATCATATGTATGACACCAAACTTCTATAAAAATTTATAATAAACTTTAGTAATATCAACACTATTATTTATTATAAATTTTTATAAAAGTTTGATTTCTTACATATGATCTGACCATATGTCAGATCATATGTGAGGACAGTTTCATGTTTCAGATCTTTCATGAAAATAGAATACGAGTCATTTTGACTCGTATTTCTTACGTTGGATCTTACATGAGAACAGATTCAAGCATAATAAATAGGGAGCAAAAACATCTTACGGGATCTAGCGATGTTTCTTGAATTAGAACTGATGTAAGAATTTTTAGTAGGGACGTTTTCAGTGTTTCACGAAAATATTGATAAACTTAGAATTAATGTTCATAATAAATCTATCGTAAATAAAACAATAATTGAAACGATTAAGCAACCAGCTTTAATGTGTCCAATTTTCGATAAAAGTTATAAATATCGTCCGACTAAATATCTAAATGATCTTAAACGTTACTTACAAGCAAGTAATTATAATACCGCTTAGTTAGTATGTTTGCTATCACAATCTATAACGGAAGTAAACTCTTTGTGGTACGAATTAGTACAGCGCGAAATAACAAATTTTGAAGATTTCGAGAAATTATTCAAAGAAAAATTTTGGAACGCTGAAATTCGACAAAACATTACACGTGAAATCGAGTTTGGTAAATATTATGGAAACGGAAAATTAACTCGATATAATTATGCGATACGTAAAATAAATTTGGTATGATATAAATGAAAATTTATATGAAGAGGAATCAATAGATAAAATCTCTCGGCATTTTGATAGAGACATAAAAAAGATTTCAGAATTCATTTAAATTTTGTCATCGCTAGACAATGATGACTATATTAGTTCACGCCATGCTTAAAAAGATATCGGGGTAGAACAACAAATAAATAGTATAACTGTTGAAAATTGTAAATCAATTAATAAAAGTAATAATAATAAAATAAATAAAAACAAATATAATACTAATACAAAATCTATTCCACTAGACGGAGGCGTACTTAGTACCTCGTAGGAAAACGCATAAGTGTTGCTTCTCGGAAATCGGATAAATACGAAAGCTCGCAGAGTCTCAACACTAAAATCGGATGATAAATTAAAATCAAACTTTGAAGAATTATTAACAATTTTTGAAGATCCTAGACAATAAATTAGTGGTGAATTATCAAATAATGAAAATAATAATAGGGGCAGACTTAGTCCTGAAATACTTCTTTTTTGGATAATATTCCAGTTAAAGCCTTACTTTATTCGGGTAGCGAAATTTCTGATATTTCAGAAGAATTTTATAATCAAAATTTAAATATTTTCAAAGATCACAATTTTGGTAAGGTAAGCAACATCACAATTTTGGTCTCACTCTCTTATTTCTTTATTTTAGAATTTCACAAGATTTAAAATATGTTTATTACTTTTAAAAAATTTTCTTGAAACAATTTATTTAAACAAGTTAGTTTTAGTTATATAACATCTGATCTAATTAAGAATAAAAAAATCGATGTAACTAAAACACTGGATATCAAAAGTTTATGACAGAACATGAATGTATTAAAAATTACGATATGATATTACTATTGCTTATGATATGACTTTATATGCTAAGTTCTTGAGAAAAAACAAACCATGGATGTTCTGCAAGGTAGGATTATAGTATTTTTTATAAATACAAATTAGTACAAACATACCTACAAATGTACAAGTTTACTTTTTTATGAAATTTTATTTTAAAAAATTTATTTAAAAAAATTTATTTTAAACAATTATGAGCAAGCCATAAAAAAAATAAAAAAAATAATAAAAAAAGTACTTTGTGATTTTAAAAAAGTTTCATTTTTATAGTAACTCAAACAGTACAAAAATATCCTTATGAAAAGATTTGTTATTACAGAAAGGGAGAAAGTATTAATTTATGAATATTCTTTGAATAATATTTTAATTGGTTACGGTTTCTCTATCTTATTTATAAATTTAAGAAAATTATGTAATCTTTGCATTTAGGTTTAGCCACGAATATGCATTTTAATATAAAAAAAGTGATATTAATTGATAGATTAATGTGATAAAATTATACTAAGTAAACAATTTTAGTTTATCAAGTATAAGAATTTCTATTTATATTCTTTAAAATTAGCTTAATATATGAAACTGTAAAGTTAACATAGCTAAAGAAATGAAAAATGACATTTCAAAATTATCTTTGAAAATTTAATTTCTAAATATTTATTATCAAAGTGAATTTCACAAAGTGAGCTAAAATTGAGTCACAGAATCTATATCAAATCAAAATCATTTTAATTAGGTATAATTATTACAAATTCAAATCAGTTTCTCTACACTATAATCCTCATAATAGCTTAGAGCAAAAAGTGACAATTATTTAAATTTCAACTGATATATGTGTCGGGTTTTAAGACATTTTTCAAACAAATTAAAAAAAAATGAATGATATATTTCTAGAGTAGTTGGAGTTTCTCTTAGACAAAATTACAATTTTTCACTAGTGATGTAATATGTTACTTTTGAAGTATACAAAAATTTTCATATATTAATATCTTTTATTAATCTTTGTATAAGATTTTAAAATGTCATAAAAATTTATGAACGTATACATATATATACAGTACCACTTTGATAAAATCAGAAGAATTATGTTCAAACTAAAAAATTAAAAGAAACGTAATTATAAATAAAAACAAAATATTTTCCATATTTTTCATTCAAACTATGTAGAACTACTAATAGATAAAATTTAATAATAAATAATATTTAGCAACAACAATATAACAATATAGTATAATTTACTCAAGAAAGTTCTTATAAAAAACATACATGTTTTGAACCATTTTCTGCCAATGTTGATGATTTTGATCCGGCTTTAAGAACTTTCAGTGTTTTTTCTGTTGAAAAAATATATAATTCAAAAAATTAAATTCTTTCGTTATTAATATATAAACTGAGTGAATCTACCATATATACGAAGCATATTATTTTTATCAACTCCATTAGCTATTTCTTTATCTCCAATATGTATTTTTCTTTGAGGGCACAAATGGTTTTCAAATGGGTACCGTCTTTTGGACATGTTTAAAAAAATGAATAAAAAATATAATAATTGTGGTTAAAATTATGTTCTATAGACTTATAACTATTTTAATATAACCTTTTTATATGATTTTTGAATGTTACTAATAATTTTACTAACAAGATACAGCTACAATATGATCTTTGAATTGCCAGATTGAGCTTGAGCCTCAGGTAAGGCTGGGCCAGCGATGAGCATTCGAAACTTTTTTTCCTATTCGTAACGTATCTAGGTCTGTTGTACACTTGTGGCTGTTCTATCATCATACCGTGTCCGAATTCCGCGTTTTAAGTTCGTTTTGTTTAAAAGAGAGAAAATAATAAAATTCTCAATTGTACAATATGTAGCTATTGTTTGATATAAATTGATGTTTGCCTCGGGAAGTACTGATTATTTATTTTCAAGTACAATTCAATATCTAGCCTAGTAGTAAGAGCAAAAGTTCATAGTGAAATGATTTGAGCGACTTCCTTGGCGAAGTAAATTGCTCTTGTTTGAAATTTTCTTTGTTTTTTGTTGTTAATTGATTTATGATCGTTATTTTGTTATTTTATTAGATGTATAGGAGAAATCACTTTGACACTAATTTAGGGAAAAAGCCATACCGGCATAAAAAACCCTTTTATTAAAACGAAATGGGAAATTACATTGACAGAAACAGCGCGAGAGAGACGTCGCGCAGAGAGCGATGGCCGTTGCCATGCATGCACGCACTCAATCGCCTTACACACAAAGGAATTTTGCAGACAAACAGATTTGCGTTTACTGTCACACACTCCAACCACACTGAAGCGATAGTAAAGACCACGTGAGTGGACGAGAGCCTTGCAATACGTGGGTATTGCAAGCAGTATTGCACGTGGGTGCACGAAACCGTTATTGAAACGTAAAGACGCGAGGGAGCTCCGCACGCTAGACGATGTCGTCGACGACTGCCGGTAACACCGGCAAGAGCAGCCATGCTTGGCGCGAGTGGCGCAGCGCCGTAAGGTGCTGCCACCACGCTAGGCTTAAGGCCTTAGCGCCTCACACACTCTGGCACACAGACACGCTCTAGCTGCGCGCGCAGCTCAACTTAATTTAAAGGTGCATGCCTGAATAAGATACGTATGTGTTAGTACATATATAACGTGTTACGACGTAACACATAGAAAGAGGTATTTTAACAAATATAGTTTTTATTCTCATACTATTTTTTAAAGTATTAAATAGACTTAAGTAGAATTAAGAAAGAGTTAATGTAGACATGTGCGACGAGGGGAGGGGGCGGGGAAAAATAAGTAGTCGGATTCTTCCAGCCTCATCTGCCGCCAGCGGCGCGGTCAGCTGATGATTGCAGCTTTTATTTGTTTATCAGTAATCGATTGTTGGGCGCCAGCTACCATCCTCGCGTTAGGAGGGCGGGTAGCGCTGCAGATCGGCTGGGTTCTGGTCGCTGTGGTTCGGGTGGTTCCGTTATCTCCTTCGTCGTACGTTGACCTCGCGCGGTTACTTATAGGATGTTACGAAGAAAGGGAGCGCGAAGTCCTAAATTGAACGTTCGAGAGAGAATCAAACGGGGGGATGGGTATTAACCACTCACGGCTGCGGCTCGATGGCTAGTCACTTTGTCGAGGCAAAAGGCTCTGGTCTCAGCAGCGGGTAATCGGAGCGGGGTCTCAGGACGCCTCGTTGACGATCCAAAGGCAGTTGAGGATTCAGGTCGACCGGTCACGTGATTTGAAGTGGTGTCAAAGTATCAACGTGTCTGTTAGTCTCGCGTACCCAATCGCGAGCGCTACGGGGATGTGGTAAAGTTAAACAGACAAGATCAATGACAACACTAGTTTAATTAGGATTCGAATTTATTGATAGCAGATTTATTTCCCCGGGTCAGCCCAAGTCAGTTATCTCACGTCGTTCTTCACGCCCACTCATAGTCAGTTGCTCGCGATGGTCTGCCTAATCTAAACTTAATAAGGGTGCGAGTAGCGCACCGTGACGCGACTTCGACTTATTTTCGTGGCGATTGAGCGGAGGTTAGATAACCCGGGTTGATATGCGGGTATTTTCGGGGATTGCGAGGCGATCATATAAGATCGAGCGATATTTATTTATGTGGGAGTTTAACGATCGCGCGAAGGAAATTCGTATTGATCTAACGCGCGCGCGAGGAACTTGTCGGTCATACGAACGTCAGGCGGCACTTATTTGATACGCGAAAACTCACAGAGGTCGCTCTAGGGAAATCGGTGGTAAACTGACGTGCGCATGGGGAATTTGTCGGTCGCGCGAAGGTCAGACGGTGCTCGTTCAATACATGAAAACCCGATCAATCACATAAGAGGATTTGCGTCAACATAACATGCGCTCGAAGAACTCGTCGTCCGCGCGAAGGTCAGACGGTAGTCGTTCGATATTTGGTAATTTACAAAGAAAGTCGCACAAAGGAAATCGGTGGTAAACTGACGCGCACGCGAGGAATTCGTTGTCCGCGCGAAGGTCAGACGGCACTCAATGTATGACGATCTAACAAAGAAAATCGCACAAAGGAAAACGGTGGTGGATAATGCGCGCGTGAGGGATCTGTCGGTTACACGATGGTCAGGCGCTGTCCTTTCGATGTACGGTAATTCGACAAGAAAATCACACAAAGGGAAATCGACAGCAAACTGACGTGCGCGCGCGAGGAATTCATCGTCCGTGCGAAGGTCAGACGGCACTCGATATATGACAATCTAACAATAAGAAATCGCACAAAGAAAATCGGTGGCGAATGATGCGCACGTAAAGAGTTCATTGGTCGCGCGAAGGTCAGGCGGCACTCCCGGTAATACGCGACAATCTAGATTAAATTCCTATGGCGATTTATCATGCGCGCGAAATTCCACGATCGCGCGAAGGTCAAACGGCACTTCCGATAACGCGAGGTCTAGGTGGTCACGTAAGATTTTAGGGTGAGAGAAAAGTACTTACGTCTACTTTTCTCGTTGTTGCCTGTCCACTTGGTGCTGCTATTGCTGCTACTGTTGCTGCTGCTGCTGCTTTGCTGCTGTTGCTGCTTCTGCTTCTGCCTGCTGCTTTTGCTTCTGCCTGCTGCTGCTGCTTTACTCTGCTTGTTGCTTCTGCCTGTTGCTGCTGCTGCTGCTTTACTGCTTGTTGCTGCTCTTTTTCTCTGCTGCTGCTGCTCCTTTGTTTCGCGGCTCATTCACTCGCGTATACTCCAGACTTCCGCTCGGCTCTAGAGTCTGGCGGCTACTGTCGCAGCGTTTCGCGGCGTTGCGTCGCTTCTCCCCGCTTACTTCCCCTTCAAATTGCCTAATTGGTCGGTCTTGTTACTAAGTCGGATGTCAGCGCCGTCTATTTTACTAATTTTGGCCCGCGTAATTTTACAATTGGTCAGTTCTTGGCGTCTAATTTCCCTATTCGTTAAGCAAGTAGCGTCGGTTTTGTTTTATTCGCTAAACTACCCCTAAGCTGTTACCGATTGGCTGGTTAAGTCGTGCGCGTTGGTCAGTTTCGCATCGTTATCGGCTATCTCTTCCTAGCAAACGCTCGTTAGTCCTACCGATTTTCCTCGCTCGCGTCCGATCGGTCTCGTATCGGTTGTCGCGCTCGCTCTCACGCGCTCGGTTGCCCCTCCTTTGGTCTAGCCAGGTGTAATCTAGTTTAGTGGCGGTTCCGAAGATCAGCTGATTTCAGCTGCAATCTTTTTCGACGTCCAGCTTCCTGGGAGATTATCAGTTTGGGTCGTGAGTGCGCGAGTGGTTTTACGCGGGCATAAGAGTCGTGCGCATCAGCTTGGTGGACCCTGAGGGATGGTGAATCGCGAGGTCTCGGATGTGCGCGGGTGGGCTATGCGGCATCAACTGTTCGGATCGCAATCTCTTATTGAGAGCGGGTCTCGTGTGAGCTAAAATTATTTTAAGTGATGACGCATCATCACACCTCTCATAAATTGTCAAATCTTAATTAGTTTATTCTTATTTGAGCTCTGTAAGTCCATAGGTTATATGGTAAATTTAGTAAATTATAATTATTGTTTGAAACATTTTAAATTCTTTATTATAGCTAGACAATGTCTCAATCGTAATGCTGAATTAAAATTTCTAGAGCAAATTGAACAGAATATAAAGTTGACTTGTTACTGTTATCATCAGCAGTATGTTTTGACACTTCAGCATTTAGTTCAGACCTGTAATATCTAAATTAAAAAAGAATTAGAAATAATAAATATCAATCTATGACATTTTAATAATTAAAAATACTTTGACACTGTTTCACAATTATTTTCAACATTTTCAGTGTTAGACTCTGTTTGGACCGAAGTCAACTCTTTCCATTTTGTCTAATTTGCTCTGGAAATTTCAATACGGTATTACGCTCTAGACATAATTATCTTATATTTATTGATTCATTTATTGTCAGCTGTTCTAGTTATAATAAAGAAAATGTTCCAAACAAGAATTATAATTTACTAAATTTACCATATGACCTATATAAATTTACAGAGTTCAAATAAGAATAAACTAATTCGGATTTGACAATTTATAACATGTCTACATTAATTCTTTTTTAAGTCTACTTAAGTCTACTTAATTCTTTAAAAAATAGTATGAGAATAAGAACTATATTTGTTAAAATACCTCTTTCTTTGAACTTTTGCTCTTACTACTAGTCTAGATATCGAATTGTACTTGAAAATAAATAATCAGTACTTCCCAAGGCTAACATCAATTTATATCAAACAATAGCTACATATTGTACAATTGAGAATTTTATTATTTTCTCTCTTTTAAACAAAACGAACTTAAAACGCAGAATTCGAACACGGTATAATGATAGAACAGCCACAAGTATACAAAAGACCTAGATGCATTACGAATAGGAAAAAAAGAAGTTTAGGATGGGTGGCCGAATGCTCATCGCTGGCTCTGGTGTCGACTCATAGTAGCGAGACTGTGTCCCATACGGCCATCAATTGACTTGATACGTTTGCGCGCGTGATTCCAATTGGCATTTTATTTGGGTAGAGTAAAGCGAAGGAAAAGAAAAAGGCAAGTAAGTAAGTAAGTAAGTCTAATGTGTTGAGGAAAGGCGAGAATAGATGAATTGATCATAGAAGTAAATGTTATTGAATAGAAAAGTTAAAGAAAAATTAAAGAAATATTTTTGAATTTTTAAGGAATTTACATAGAAGGTCGATGATCTTCGATTTAGGATCTG